GGAATATTTGTCCATATACTTAAATATATAACTCTTGCTTATTAGAAATAATATCAAAACTTATGTCTATCTATTGACTAGTATGAACCTACTTGGTATTGATCTTTTCTGTCGACGTTTAACTAAAATTTGTTCTGATGAAGATGATTCTAAAAGACGTTTGTTATTATTATTTATTATAGTTGATGATGATAATGAATTAGTTGTATGAGTTTCATTGACATTGAAAATACCATTTGTGTCTAATGAAAGTAAAGCCGTTGGTTGAATTAATGAATCATATTGAGGTTTTTGACTATTGCTATCACTTTCGATTATTGTTTGATTTTGTTCAGGTGGACGTCGAGTAAATACAGGTGAGCGACATGATTGGCGAGAAGTTTTGCGATTTCTATTAAGATAAAAAGAAAAATATTTTTATTTAACAAGTTTCAATAAAGTTATTGTGCCTAGAGTATAAATACTGCAACTTGTTAAAAGTAAATAATTAGAGATGTTAATCAAACGTTAAATGTTAGATATATTTAGAAATTATAATGTGCTACATATTGTGTCCTTGGAACTTTTTTATGATTTTGAACTAAAAGAACTACCAAACAAATAAAGTTTTCGATTAAGAACAGTTAAGCTTTCAAATTTTAATATATTATAATTCAATATTCTTTTTATATACATTCATGTCTTTTCTTTTGATGGAAGCCAACTCTGGAATAGTTTTAAGTTAGAAAAATTAAAAATGCATATTCTTTTACAATACAGTTCACTCTTATATTTATATACGTTAATAATTGTAGTTTTAGCGCCATTTAAATGAATTAAACTAATCAATTTTCTGCGGTTTTTTTACTTATTTTTGAGTGTTAAATTTTTTTGTTAAGTCCGGAAAAAAAAAATAACTAAAATGATTAATTTACCTGTTTAAATAATCTCTTGGTGTAATTTTTATGTTTGTTTTTGTGTCCGGTACATAAAAAGGAGAATATCTTGGTTGATATTGTGGACTTTTATTATTAACATTATTAACATAATCATTTTGATTTGATACTGACGAATTTTCATTTAGTTTTGTTGGAGATGTAAGTAAACGATGAAGAATAGGTGATGTATGAGAATGTTTAGTTACAGTTTGTTGTACATTTTTATTATCACATTGACTATTTGTATTATCTGTTGAAGATTTTTCAATTTTATTAAGAAAATCTTTAATCAAATAAGATATAAATAAATAAATAAAACAAAAATAATTTTTTCTGTACCTGATAATTCATAATTTGATATATTTTCACTACTATGTCGATGTTTAATTGTTTCTACTGTTGTTGTTGCAAAATCTTTTGTAACACATAAATCAAGTGGAGAATTTTGTTGAAAAACATTTTTAACTTTTGGACTTGAATATGGTGTTGAAGTATACGATGATACATTAGGACTACAATCACCAGCTGAACTAATTGGAGATGCTGTTGAATCAGATATTATATTTGATTTTGTATTTGTATCATTTGTTGGAGGTGAATAATCAATTTGTGTCATTGGTGGAATACAAAAATATAAATCGGACGGATTAACAAATGGTTTATATGGTGATGTATTTGATGTTGAAGAATTTTCAACAAGTCTTTGACATAATGAATTAAAGGTACATAGATCAATTAAACTTGGATTATGTTGTAATAAAGCTGATGTACTTGGTGAGGGTGGTTTTATTGGTTCATTGTTTAATTCAAGGAATGGTCCACTAGGACCTGGATGTAAATATGTTGCCAATTTAGGAGATTCAATATATTGATCCATCTAAAAATAAAATACAATAAGAAAAATAAAAAATATGTTTTTTTGTTTATTGAATATATTTATTACGGATATCTATTGCATTGTAATTGATTTTTCTTATTGGTTTATCATTGACTGCTAGTAATGTTATCATTGACAGAGAAAGAAAGCTCCATCTAGATTCGTCTTTTTTCTTGTAGGAATCAATCGATCGATATTTCATTTTTATAAATGCACCAATAAATAACAATGTCATTCTAATGACATCTATTTTGATGGAGAGGTTGATTGATTCAAGTTTTATTTGTCAATTAATTCATCGAATTGAATGCATATGAGATATTTTAATAAAAATATAATTGGTATTTGCAATTTTTCTAATAACAGATGTATTAACTAGAGTGACTATGCATAGAATATTGATTATATATGAAATATATACTGTTTTACAGGTTGTGAAAGAGAAAAAGTCAGAGGTTACTAAGGACATTTTGTTAAAGAAATTTATATTATGATTTTAGCTCCTTAAAAGTTGTATGTAATATCAAATTTAAGCTAATGTTTATTATATAAACTAATGTTTAACAGAGATGATATTGGCTTGGTTTTGTACTGAATTGAAACCGATTGAATTTGAACAAAACAAAAAAAAACTAAGTTGCTCTTGTCTGTGTTTCAATTAGATTTTCTCTTCCAGAATGGCGAGTACGTATTGTTGAGAATCTAAACAGATGAGATATGTTACCAGAACCACAAACTTTGGAGGGACCAAATCGATCTTTGGTGGAGCACGACTTCAATACTGGATAAAATAATGGGTTGATTCCCTAAAACGATGTAACGATTCTATCTGAGGTGCTTATTTTCTTCTAACTGCATCACACAATAAGAACATTTATCACTTTCTTAATTTGTCAAACATCAGTTCATGTTTTCCATTAAAAAAAAATAAGAATATAAATTTTTTTGTTTGTTGTTCTTTAGACTGTGAAAAGCTTTGTTTTAGTACATTCTGATAGACTTTACTAACGACAAGAAAAGGTAAACATGAATATTACTCGTCTAAGCAATGTTTACGAATACATTTTGTTTTAGACTTTCATTGAAGACCCAAACTCTAAATTTATTGCATAAGAGGTAAGTGAAAATATAGATTGAACAATCTCCTATCTGTATGTGTTGTGTATCGAGGTAACAAGAAGAAAGAACTTTCGATGAGATGATGCTGCGTATGTGTACTTTTTATAGACAAGTTTTATATTTTACATATAATAATTTTTTCTCTCTGATATTTTAGCCATTGCGATTCTTCTAGTCATATACGCAGCATTTTATTCGGTGACTATATCACAAGTACAGAAATATGATCCAGATTGTGATTATAATATTACACAATTGATTCAAAGTAAAGGTTATCCATGTGAAGAACATAAAGTAATTACAAATGATGGTTATATTCTTGGTATATTTCGTATTCCACACGGTCGAAACTCATCATCATCAACAACAGGTCGACCTGTTCTTCTTCAACATGGTCTTCTTGATTCAGCTACAACATGGGTAATGAATTTTCCAGATCAAAGTCTTGGCTATATTCTTGCTGATGCTGGTTATGATGTTTGGCTTGGTAATGTTCGTGGAAATTATTATTCACGTGCACATGTTAAATACAATCCTGATCATGATGAAGAATTTTGGGATTTTAGTTGGGATGATATGGCAAAAGATGATCTTCCATCAATGATTAATTATATACTGAATGTAACAAAATATACACAAATTGGTTATATTGGTCATTCACAAGGAACATTAATTGCCTTTACAGAATTTGGTCGTCCTGATAGTCTTGTTCAAAATAATATTAGTTTCTATGGTGCATTAGCACCAGTTGCACATTTAGGACATATAAAGTCTCCAATAAAATATTTATCATTGACATCAAAAGAATTAGAACTTTATTGGCATTTGTTATTTGGTCGTAATGAATTTCTTCCTTCATCTTATATAATAAAATGGCTTGGAACATTTGCATGCGGAGATGTTATACTTGATCGATTAATATGTGAAAATGTTTTATTTGTTTTATGTGGACCAGAAAAGAAAAATATGAATAATACACGAATTCCAGTGTATGTATCACATGCACCCGATGGAACATCTGTAAAAAATATGATTCATTATGCACAAGGTGTTCAATCAAATGTATTTCGAGCATATGATTATGGTTCACCTCAAAAAAATCAATTACATTATAATCAAACAACACCACCTGAATATAATATTCATGGATTGAAAATCCCAACGGCCATATTTTGGTCACTTGATGATTGGCTTGCCGATGCAATTGATATTGTATATATTTTTGATAACTTACGAAGTCTTGTCTATGAAAAATGTGTTACAGATTATAATCATTTGGATTTTGTTTGGGCTATATCAGCAAATAAAATTATTTATTCTGATCTACTCAATGTAATGCAACAATATCATCCACCTAACTAACTATGTTTGATTTTGTTTTTATTTTTTCAAAAAGATCTAATTTTTTTTATAAAAGTATGATGCATATGTATGTAAATAAAAGGTCTGTTGGACTAAACTGTTGAGCATATTGATCAATTCCATGCATTATCTGAAAAAACAACAGTTGTTTACACAATTCTTACAGGACTAAAATACGAAACACGTTATTGTTCCTGTTGTTAATCACTGAGAGATTGTTTTATTCTATCTATTTCGATACACATTTATCATTATTTTACTGAATCCTCCAGAAATGCAACAAAGAAATACTTCATATATTATAACGAGACGTTATTCATGTTCAGTCTTTGACGTTCGCATAGTTATACTCTGTGGAGCACAGAGGTCTAAAGTTGTACCCTTCTGCTTTAAAAATTCTTTCAGATCTTGCTGCACAAAAGAGCTTGCCATATATATACTCATGATACATTAATTCTCTAATATAACATCGATTGAGTATAATATTCAGTTGATATCAATAGTGGAATTGTATCCTAGATTGTTCAAGGTATAGCAATCCTGTTGACTACATCACTTGACACAAATTAATATCTGTTTACTATAAGACATTTGTTAACTATTTTTATCTTTTCTATTACATCATATATATATTGACATAAAAGACAAGACAGTACAAGCTAAAACATTATTATTATCTGTTTCTTTTGTTTTGAGTGATAGCAAAGAATACAAGAAATTGTAAAATGTTATTCTGTAAGTAGTGGCAAATTTTCGTTTACAGAGTATTATTTCTTTAATATTCTAGACATTTCAAATTTTCTTCTCCTCGTTTCCTTATGTTATTCCGTACTACAATCACAAGTACAAAAACATGATCCAGATTGTGATTATAATATTACACAATTGATTCAAAGTAAAGGTTATCCATGTGAAGAACATAAAGTAATTACTAATGATGGCTATATTCTTGGTGTTTTTCGTATTCCATACGGTCGAAAATCATCAGCAAAAGGACGACCTGTTCTTCTTCAACATGGTCTTCTCGATGCAGCAGTAACATGGGTAATGAATTTTCCAGATCAAAGCCTTGGTTTTATGCTTGCTGATGCTGGTTATGATGTTTGGCTTGGTAATGTTCGTGGAAATTATTATTCACGTGCACATGTTAAATACAATCCTGATCGTGATATAGAATTTTGGGACTTTAGTTGGGATGATATGGCAAGAGATGATCTTCCATCAATGATTAATTATATACTGAATGTAACAAAATATACACAAATTGGTTATGTTGGTCATTCACAGGGTACAATGATTGCATTTGCAGAATTTGGTCGTCCTGATAGTCTTGTTCAAAATAATGTTAGTTTCTATGCAGCTCTAGCACCTGTTGCTCATCTATCACATACAAAATCACCATTAAGATATTTATTTAATATTCCAGAAGATCCTGAATATATTTGGCATTTATTATTTGGTTATAAAGAATTTCTTCCATCATCAAATATGATCAAATGGCTTGCAAAATATGCATGTGGCAGTGTTATATTTGACCCATTAATTTGTGAAAATATTCTGTTTGTTATATGTGGTCCAGATAAAAAGAATATGAATAATACACGAATGGAAGTTTATGTATCTCATGAACCTGATGGAACATCTGTAAAGAATATGATTCATTTTGCACAATTGTTTCTTTCTAAACAATTTCAAGCATATGATTATGGTTCACCAGAAAAGAATCAATTACATTACAATCAAACAACTCCACCGATATATGCAATTCGTCCAATGAAGATTCCAACAGCAATATTTTGGTCACGTGAAGATTGGCTTGCTGATCCGGATGATGTTGCTTTTATTTTTGATAATATTGAAAATTTAGTTTATGAGAAATATATCTTAGATTATAATCATCTTGATTTCGTATGGGCTATAACAGCAAATAAAATTATCTACAAGGATTTAATTAATCAAATGCAAAAGTATCATCCATCAAACTGAATTTATTTGTAAAAATGACTGTCATATTTTTTTAAATAAATTGTGTTCAATTAAAAGATAATCTATTGTTCTTAATATGATTCTATTATCTGCGACAATAATGTATCAGTATGATTGGCACTATCATGAAAGATAATGATTCGAAATAATAATCGTATCTATTATAACATTGCGTGTATAATTTTACTCGTTTTATAGGGATAGATAGAGAAAATGAAGCGTTAGTTGAACATAATAGCTACTAATTCGTCAAGATTAACACAACACATACCAATAATAATTGATTTGTTTACATTGTTAAACTTGAATTCATTACTTTCATGGAATAGTTTTTAGAAAATTTATGAATTATTTATCAAGGTCATTCACATCTCCTGTCACGGCTTACAATTTAACTTTCCTTTTATTTTTCAATTTTTGCGACCAAATTTTAGTCTGAAGTATTATCCATCTACCGAGTACAAAAAAAGTGGAATATGGGTATTTTTGTCATCTGGACACCAACCTCTACCTAAGTATTCACATCAACGTTCATATTCTAATACTTACTTATCAATTATGTTCTTTCTAATAATTGGCAATGAATCGGAAGTCATCGATTGAACACAGAAGGTCTTACCTTGTTCGAAACGATTTAAAAATTCTGTGTGGTAGCTAGTCTGCTTTCGATGTGAGTTAAATATGTTTTGCAGGAAAACAATTATCAATTAAATTGATTATGAGCGCAATAATATACCAGTTGGATTCCTAGGCTCAATTCAGTGCACTCATTTCGAAGTCTGATGGGTATTATCATTTGCTTTCGTAATTGCTCTTTTATTATTTGCAATAAGTGCGGTGTATAGTTTCTTCGCTGAGATGAATAAATCGAAAATTGCTCACTGATTACTTTCATGACGCTGATCATTTACATGAATATGTTTGTGATATTAATTAAGTTTTGATTATTGTTGAGAAATACAAGAAAGCATTGTTTTGCTCATGATGAAAGGTTTTATCTTTCTTGGTCTTCTCCTTCTTGTCGAAGCCAATGCAAATCAAGCACAAGTTTACAATAATTCATTGAACAACAGAAATTTTGATTTTGTTTTTGTTGGACGATGAAAACAATTCGCGTCTAAACGAGAGTCAACTGGGCCAGACGAATATTGCATTAGGTTCTATTGTTACTGAACTACAACCTCCTGACTCGACCTTTTGTAGTCATTTTTTTATGGCCCTACATCTTCAGTCTATATTGTTGTTCCATTTAGGACAACTTATGCCTTACTAGTTAAGTGAATGTTAGAACAAAAGCAATATATAAGAACAAAGCCAAATCCTTCGAAACTTAGTTTGGTTTTGAGTTTTGTAGATGCAGCTTGTAAAAAGAAAAATGCAACGTTGTATTGCACCAATTTCTGTTGTACATACTACTAATTCCGAAAATACACTAAAATTAGAATTTATGGTTTCCCAAGGCCTCGAAAAGGCTCTCATTATACGGTGCTAGAAATCGAAAATTGACGTGTAGATTCTTCATTAATTTATATATTATTTGATAGAACTTTGGTTGAAGACATATAGCTTTTATTTCGATTTCTTCATTGTCACGTAGAAAACATATTCCAAAAGTCGTATGACCATCGAAATAGCATTGATGCTCATGAATTTAGCTTTCTTGCATAAATTGCTCGATTTAAATCTTACTTGATACGTAAATATTGGGGTGGATATGGATACGGGTGTGTGAATGATGATCTTTTTCTCACTTACAGTCCTATGCACACCCACATCCACACATCTAGTTGTTTTGCAGAAAAGATCATTACTACAGTTCTACAAGACACATTGTAAAATTTATAGAACCCTTAGAGTTTGTAACAGTAACAACTCTTATTTTACTTGGTCACGGTTCATATACGCTCAATGTACGAACAAAGGAGAAACTTTTTCACAATTTTTCATCTATTAATGTACGACAACTGAGCTTCAATAATATCTATGCCTTATTTTGCCTGACTCTCTTACATAAAGACATGATTCTTTTTTACAAGGATCGATAAGTTTGATGTTGTTTTCTTTGAAATCATTCTATAATGAAACTGAAAAGTTTCTCAATTGCCATAAGGCTACTAATTCCGATAAAAGATAAAATGAGTTAGTGAGTTCGATTTTTATATTACACTTCATATTTTTAGGTTTCTTAATGCCTAGATATGTTACAGTTGCATGATGCTAACAATTGGCATAGCTTTCATAAAAAAAAAGAAAGCTGCACTGATATTTTCGTGACCAACACATGAAGTCAAAGTTTTTAGGTTATGTCAAACTCAGCGATTAATGTCTGACTAACTTATTCTAGGTGTCGATGTTTGAGTAGATGACGGCATCGGAGTGACAACGATATCTACATCCGTTAAGTACTGTTATGCATGGAAAAATTTTGCATTTAACAAGCATATATTCGTGTTTAGATACTATTCTTACTTTTGAAATTAGAATTATCAAAAAGCCTTGCCAAGTGTATACGATATATTTGAATAGACATGTAAACTGTGCATACAATGTAATCAATAAATTAACTATTGAAAACAATATAAGCTTTCTCTGTTACGCTAATCAAATTCAATTTATCCAAGCGTTTAGTTTTAATTGTTTGCTATTTAAATGATAAGTTGTACACAATTTACACTCATTTCACAAGCCACTATTACAAACAGATATATTTGGCTGATATATCAGGGCTCCTCAAACAAAGTGACCCAGATTCATCTCGTTATATGTCTACCTTACGACATTCATCTCTCGCATTGAATTGCTTTTCATTTCGTTTTCTTTTCTCTCTTTCACGTCATAGATTTTTTCCATTCTCTCTCATTAAACTTGTTGCCCTTTTTCAATTTTATTTTGTCATGATGCCTTTTTCCATTGCATCCACTTTATATGTAGTATATGATTTCGCACTAAATAATATTCAATCAGGCATTCGTTTTCTTGACTTCCTAGAGTTAGTCACCTCAGAAGATGTCATCCTTTCATTGTCCGATGTTTTTATCTTCAGTTTGATATCATTTTTATCTCAAAGTAAGCAAAAAGAAAGATGTAGACCTCTTAAGCAAGTGTCGTGTATGAAGATAGAATACAGAACAATTTAGACGAAATCATGCTCGGTAGGTGTGTTGTAAACGACCGAGATCTCTCATTAACTATCATATCTTTCTCAATCTCATTGTAGGTCTTCTATGTTTGCTTCTGTTATTTTCATTATGCCATTCAAGAAGTCTTCCACAAATACAACAACCTGATCCAGATTGTAATTACAATATTACACAAATAATTCAAAGTAAAGGTTATCCGTGTGAAGAACATAAAGTAATTACAAATGATGGCTATATTCTTGGTGTTTTTCGTATTCCATACGGTCGAAAATCATCAGCAAAAGGACGACCTGTTCTTCTTCAACATGGTCTTCTTGATTCAGCTACAACATGGGTAATGAATTTTCCAGATCAAAGTCTTGGCTATATTCTTGCTGATGCTGGTTATGATGTTTGGCTTGGTAATATGCGTGGAAATTATTATTCACGTGCACATGTTAAATACAATCCTGATCATGATGAAGAATTTTGGGATTTTAGTTGGGATGAAATGGCAAAAGATGATCTTCCATCAATGATTAATTATATACTAAATGTAACAAAATATACACAAATTGGTTATATTGGTCATTCACAAGGTACAATGATTGCTTTTGCAGAATTCGGTCGTCCTGATAGTGTTATTCGAAATAATGTTAGTTTCTATGGATCATTAGCTCCAGTTGCTCATGTAGGGCATATAGAATCTCCATTAAAATATTTATCATCTGCAACTATAGTTAAAGACCTAGAACTTTACTGGCATTTGTTATTTGGTCGTAATGAATTTCTTCCTTCATCTTATATAATAAAATGGCTTGGAACATTTGCATGTGGAGAAGTTATAATTGATCGAGTTGTTTGTGAAAATATTTTCTTTATTCTGTTTGGGCCCGAAAAGAAAAATTTAAATGAAACACGAATTCCAGTCTATGCATCACATGAACCTGATGGAACATCTGTAAAGAATATGATTCATTTTGCACAAGGAGTGCAATCAAATACATTCCAAGCATATGATTATGGTTCACCAGAAAAGAATCAATTACATTACAATCAAACAACACCACCACAATATTCTATTCGATCAATGAAAGTACCTACAGCAATCTTTTCAGGTGGTGAAGACTGGCTTGCTGATCCATCAGATGTTAGTTATATTTTAGACAATATTCAAAGTCTTGTGTATAAAAAATACATTCCAGATTATAATCATATAGATTTTATTTGGGCGTTAACAGCAAATAAACTTGTTTATGTTGATTTACTTAATGTAATGAAAAAATACCATCCACCTAATTAACTAATTCACTTCTTGTTGTATTTCATTTTTTTTCGTATGTATTTACTATATAATATAAATTCATAACATTTTTGATCATATCATGTGCGTTAACAGCTTCTTTCAATGAATAAATAATCGTTCTTCAAAAAAAATATTTTAGAAATGCCCATTGTTTGTACATCTTATCAATTGTGAAGTTTTTTTAAAAATGTACTGCACATGCGAGACGGTGTACTTTGAATTTAATAGTAGGTTTAAGTAGATGAAGTATTTGCAAGTATGTTAACACATGTTAACACTACTTTTTTGTTAGTATATGAAAGTATTTGAGGTCAGGTCAAGTTATCAAGATAGACTATTATTATGATAAATCAAATTATGACTAAAAATAAGTTTAATCTAAAGGAATTCAACAAAGAAGCTACTCGATCCTTTTCAAATCATTTTCTTCGTGCTTCTGAAAAATTCGATTGATATTGTTACTGTATAAATAGGGCATAATGAAATGCATCATGTCACAGCTATGACCTATATATAAACCCAAACTATTTGGATTTCTAATGAGCCGTATATTTAATTGATAAGTGAAGCTTTTTTAATATGATATATCTATAAACTCCACGTTTTGACTTTTGTAATCTTTGAATATTCAGTTCAATGAAAATAACAGACTTCTAATTCTTGTTGAATCTATTAAAAAATACGTAAATAACATCAAAGTTTGTTGTTGTTTATCTTCATAGTCACATGATTTTGATCTAAAGATAAAAAACAACAAATATCAGCGTCTATTATCTCTGTGTTGAATTTTGAGATAACGAAAACAAGAACTTCATGAGAGAGGATGTTGGGTCAGTGAACTGTTGATGGCCTAGATTTATAACAAATTATTATCTTCTTCTCATTCCTCGTTCTAGGTTTTTCAGTATGTTTAGTCTTGTTACTATGTCATTCTATAACTGTGTCACAACTGCGAAAACTTGATCCAGATTGTGATTATAATATTACACAATTGATTCAAAGTAAAGGTTATCCATGTGAAGAACATAAAGTAATTACAAATGATGGCTATATTCTTGGTGTTTTTCGTATTCCATACGGTCGAAAATCATCAGCAAAAGGACGACCTGTTCTTCTTCAACATGGTCTTCTCGATACTGCTACCACATGGGTAATCAACTTTTCTGATCAAAATCTTGCTTTTATTCTACCGGATACTGGCTATGATGTTTGGCTTGGTAATGTTCGTGGAAATTATTATTCACGTGCACATGTTAAATACAATCCTGATTATGATGAAGAATTTTGGGATTTTAGTTGGGATGAAATGGCAAAAGATGATCTTCCATCAATGATTAATTATATACTAAATGTAACAAAATATACACAAATTGGTTATATTGGTCCTTCACAAGGAACATTGATTGCTTTTGCTGAATTTGGAAACTGAAGTAATGATGTTCCAAGGAATGTTAGTTTCTGGGCAGCTCTTGCACCAATTGCTCAAATAGGACATCAAAAAACACCTTTAAGATATTTAGATACTGACAGTAAAGAACTCGAGTGTTATTGGCATAAACTCTTTGGTCGAAATGAATTTCTACCAACATCTCCTGTTCTACAATGGCTTGGAAAATATGCTTGTGGAGAATTTTTTTTCGATCGCCTAATTTGTGAAAATGTGTTATTTATCATTGGTGAACCAGATAAAAAGAATATGAATAGTTCACGTATTCCTGTCTATACATCACATGGACCATCTGAAACATCCGTCAAGAATATGGTTCATTTTATGCAATGTGGAAGATCAAATCAATTTCAAGCTTATAATTATGGTTCACCAGAAAAAAATGAATTACCTTACAATCAAACAAGTCCACCACTATATTCTATTCGTCCAATGACAGTACCAACAGCATTATTTTGAGCCGGTGAAGATTGGCTCGCTGATCCAGTTGATGTTACTTATGTGTTAGATAATATTCAAAATTTAGTCTACGAAAAATATATTTCTAATTACAATCATTTCGATTTTGTCTGGGCTACAACAGCAAATAAAATTATTTATCAAGACCTAATCAATGTCATGCAAAAATATCATCCACTTTAATAAACTTTTATATCCTGTTAAAATTTTTTAGATGAATAGAGCTTCTGTATCATTGCGAAAATATTTTGGATTCTCCTACAGAATGTAAACACCCTATTCATCAATTGCTTTGAGCCTAGACTAATTGGCTTGATCTGACATGCACAACATTGCATGTGGGTGAGATTGTGCGTGTATCTTGTAGCAATATCGGATTTTGTTGATTAGTGATCATGATGATGATAGTCATATCTTCCAAGTGATACGATATGTTTCAGAGAAACCATTCTAAATGACTTAAGATGAACTTAAGAATTGATGTTAGATAAAGTGTGCAGGAAGAAAAATATTTTTCGTCGGTTCCCACGATTGACTGTCCGTTGATTATATAGAAAGCATGTTTCAATTCGTGTTTTTCTTATGTTAGAATTTACTTTCTGTTGATTGTATGGAAGAAGAGAAGAAATGAAAAAAAGTAATCATTGCAACAATAAATGTACGTGTATTTTTAGAATAAAAAGAAAGTACCAATAAATATATGAACAAATAACAAAAACCAAAGAGAGATTATTGTTTTACTTTTTGATGGGCGTCGAACAATGTTTCAATCTAGCAGATTTTAAGAACGCTGGAATACCAGTGCAATTTTCATCATAAGGTTGTCGCAATTTCATCAAACATTTATTTGTTATAAATTTATTTTTCCAAGGTTTGGGAGTCGCAGCTCTCATGTCATTTGATATTCTTTCGATCAATTCGAAAGTTAGTTGTTTTGCAGTAAATCAATCAGAATGAAAATATTTTGATGTAGAGAATTAACATGTTTGGTCATTCGAGCATGTCGAGCTTCCAAATAATTAATAGTACATGCTGTAAAATTACATTTGGAAAATATATTGAAAATTTGTTCTGACAATACAGTAGTTATCATAGTGGCTATTCATTTGTTTAGTTCTCTTCTTCCAAAGAATCAACGGAACGTAAATCCTCATATAAGAAAAGCACTAATTGAAATATATTTTTTATGTAATTAACGGACTGTAAATGATACACTTGCTCCTACACGATACATAAGTTGTCATCCACATTGAACACTCTATTTTCAGAAATCAAACAGACTAATATTTGGTTAAAGCAATGAGTGAATGGGGTGTGTGTGTTTGTAGAAAAACTATACATCCATTACAAAATAGTGGTTCCTAAGTTAACGTTGTAATTTATGTATATTGTTTTTCTTGTGTACACTACACTTTGGTTCTTATACAGACGTACGACATCCACAAATCATTGACTTGATTGACAATGAGAAACAGTGAAGAGTGAGAGTGAGTTTATCATCAATCTGGAGCAGTACATACTCTTTATTGAGAAGTGATCATGCAAAATGAATGTTGAAAAAGGTTGGTGATCAAAAATATCGCCATCCAAATATGTACCATCAAAAATAAATCTCAAATTGATCAATTATCGATATTACCAGTATAACGAAAAAAACCTGATCGATTAATGTCGCCGAACTGTTTCTGTCATGAATACGTAGGATTACTGATTTGCTACAGTATGAGAATTGTATGTAACGAATATTTCATATCTGCTTGTATTGCAATTAATGAATAAAAATCACAACCAAGACTCTCCTTGTCTGATCACATGTGATTGAATATCGATTGACCGTGATGATCTGGAAGAAACGTCTATAAATTACTGGACTAACGAGAGAACTACTCAAATTGATACTCACCGTTTGAGCCCTTATTGAGTACACAAGGAGGTGTCAGTGAGACTAGAGAAATCGTTAAACAGTTCGTGCTCATAGGCTTCTGGAGTTGAAAGTTTGTTCATAGATTTTTTTTAAGAACTCTTGAAATATGCTGAAAGTCTCAACGGAAAAGAATATTTCCTTGTCGGGATATTGAATTTCAAGTAAACTCGATTTTGTGGTAAACGAACATTTTTTGGAAATTCAACATCTTGACAAAAGAATATTTATTTTGACTGAAACTTTCAGCATATTCCTAGAGTCATTAAATCTATCTATAGACAAAATATCAAGTCAAAACTATGTTATTTGTTTTCGGTAAATATCTAATAATGGAACGAAAATTCAGTAAAAGAGTCATAACTTGACTTGAAGGTTCATGAACACGACGTTTTTTAGGATCTTTCTAGTCTTACCGAGATCTTCTTATGAATCCAATGTGAACTCAGATGGCGAGTAACAGGTTGAGTAGTTCACTCATAATCTCTTTTTCTCAACAATTTTCACAATAGTTGATAACAATGTAGTGTTATTTGTGTACATCAACAAATGCATTTGTAGAATGAAGGCCACTGCTCTATTTGTTAAATTGATTTTTCCGTATTTGTATTGCTCATTGGTATTGAGAGGCATGGTAGCTCTATGATTTCTTTCTAAGAAATTAAGTTCTGATTTCTAAATCAATATTCAAACTGAAATAAAGAATAAAATTACTCATGATAATTCATGAATCAAGCAATAAATTTTTTATATTGACTATGTAATAGTAAAACATCAATTATGGATTTTTCTCACTTTGTTTTTTTTTCATGTACATCATGTCCTGTCAAATTACATTTTCCGTATATATTAAAATCTGAGATAGCCAAAATACAAGTTTAGGGCACATTCATACAATTCTTGATTATTTTCATTGTATAATGTATAAAGAGAAATTATTTTAGATAAAAGAATGTTATTATGCATATTTTCTATAGGAACGGCATAATCAAATTGTTTCGGATAATAGAAATGATGAAAATTTTCTTATTTCCAACCATTGACTTTTGCTGCGAAATCAAACTCGAAGAAAACATGGTTCTTATTATTCTATTGTCATCGCTTTTTATTAAAAGTTTTAATATGATAGAGTGATTAATATAATATTGGTCAATATAGAACAGAAAAAGA